CCATGTTGCTCATTACCTCTCCTCAGGACCATACGTCTGACTTCCTCTGCATCTGGCTGGCGAATCTCCCATGCAAGAGCCTTTTCCAGAGTTCCTATCTCTGCCTGGAAGTCCCACCTATCCTCTCCTGCCTAGCTCTTTATTAAGTCAATCAAGTACCTTAGGCAGGTGAGATAAAACAGACACATCTTCACACAATGCACAAAAGATTATTCCAACATCTCTACCTTTTAGTTCAATAAAAGGCTCTTTCTCTAACATCAGTAAACTATATACAATAAGAACAGTCATCAGATAAGATTACATTCACAATGCCCAGTCCATTTGTATCTGGCAACTATTATCTATCCTCTCTTGGTGAGGCCAAAATTTTGACCTAAATCACTTTCTGTCATAACTTGTATTACCAGTCTAAAAATATCATTTTAGACATTAAAACATTTCTTAAACAGCTTAAGCTTTTATGTCTCTCAGCCTTTATAAACTTTACGTATCTTTTATAAGTTTCTTTTCTGAATTTGGTAACAAGGAAAATGGTAAAACTATAACTATCTAATCTTTAACCCCATCAGAAACCTGAGAAGGATAAAATATTACCTGAGTAAACAGGAAGTGCAGAGCAAGCAACTTCCGAAACTTTAGAAGTGACGAGACATCAGGCTGCCTGGACAGTCACCCAGGGTTCCTCTGCAACATTGAGGCATCCATCTTTGGCCTACAGGCCCAGAATATCTGACAGACTTTTCTGTGAAGCAGGAATTTTGAAGGACTGGCCTACCTTGTTTTGGCAAAGTTTGACTTCTTTTGTGTCCTGCTTGTCCAGTTTTTGAAAGCATACTGTGAGCAGTTGAGGCAAGGACAGTTTCTTGTCCAGTGACTAGCTTTTCCACATTGAAAACAAACTCTATATGGAGGCTCTCCAATGCCCATCATCTTCTCTGAAGTCGATTGGTGCTGCCAGGAGCAGACATATCTTACTGTCATGAAAAGCCTTATGTTCAAAAAAAACTTAAATGCTATATTCTGTAGCCCTCTAAAGTGTTTGAAGACCATCTATCTATATAAAATATATCTCTGTTTAACCTTGAAAACATACCTAACATGACTACTAGTTTGATTGTTACAGATGACTAACTACTAAACTGCATTTCTTAATTATCCTAAATAGTTTGTAATAATAGCTTTCAAGGACTAGAACTTTACATCACAATTTTGAATGAGTTGTACAGGTACAATTCCTTAAATGAGAGTAGAAATATATATACAGTATATTATAACAAAAAAAACCTTAAATTTGTATCAATATACAAAAATCCATGCCAATGTAAAATATTTGAAACTAGTAGTTGCTTTTTAGTTTAAAAGTAGATTCAATAATCTACCCTTTTATCCTATCATTCTTATATCCCTCCTTTTTTAACTAGATAAGAGAAATATTACAGGAAAGTAAAATGAGAAAGAAAAGAAAGAGAGAGAATGAAATTACGTTGGTCAGAGGCTTATAAAGGTAAAACCCTCAAGGCTATGTACTTCCCATGACATCCAATGGGGACAAGCATACATCCTGAGGTACTTCCTGCCTTTGTACCTCCTGCCTGTGTGTGATCAAGCACATCCTGTGTAGTTGTGGCAACCAAGGCTGTTTACAGAAGTGATAACACATGGCTTCCATGAACAGCCCCCAGCACTCCAGGAAGTTATCTGTCCTTGGGCAAGTGGGACTTTCAGGTTAGAGGCATTTTTGTTTTGCAGTTCTCTTAAGCATAGTCATTTAAACTTAGAACGTAACTTTAGCCATCATGTGTGTTTCTGTAATGACTCTAAGTCCTGACAGTTGACAATCAAGATAGACCATCACACGGTGAGAGGCTTCAGTGCCCCTGCTTGATCACACAAAGGCAGGAAGCACCTCAGGATGTATGCTTGCCCCCAATTGGATGATGGTGGGAAGTACGTAGCCTTGAGGGGTTTGCCTTTATAAGCCTCTGACTAATGTAATTTGATGTGGTACTCTGGGAATCCTGGATATGGACCTGGCTCAGTGTCCATCATCTTGGCCAGTGTTTAGTAAAGCTTGCTTCAAATTTCACTGAAAACTTGTGGGAATGGTCTTATTCTTGCTTGGTGAGATTAACATTTTCTGGAGGCCCAGCAAGATGAGGCCATCCACCCAAATTCTAAACCTTTACTCCAGGACTCCAGAGATGAAGGGCTGCCTCAGAAGATGTGCACCTTGAAATGTTCCAAGGCTCTGAAGCATGCTTTTGGATTCAGGGACTATTGGAGTGAACAGCCACACTGAGAAAAGCAGCCACCCTCTACAGTGGCCTCCCCTGTAAGTCATAGTCTGGTTCTGTTCCATAGTATCCAAATCTGGGGTGAGGAAGTGTTCAACAGAGCCCAAATCCTCTCCCTTCCAGGAGAGAAGTGAGAAGCCACCCACATGCCTGGTTCTGGTTGTTGGGAAAGTTCTGTCTGTCTGTTTTGTGTGTATGGGTGGGTCTGTGTTTTCTGGTGTGTTTATGAAATTTTGTGGGAAACATAGGGGCCAAGATGGATATGGGTCAAGCCCAGCTGGATGTCTGAACGATGGTGGCCACTGCTTGTTTTGTTTCGAATGATCCCCTTTGAGTGTGTGAGCTTTCTGTTTTCTGTGTTTATTGGTTTTGATTCTGCTTCTGCCAGCCTCCAGCCACCACCGCTAATGCAGTTTGCCATGGCTGCTTTGATGGCCAGAGCTCAGAATTTACCTCTGAGCTTCCTGGTCATTGGAATCAGTTTAGCAGAGATTCAAATGCCTTTTGGGTGTGGGTAATATTAAAGTTGTTTTATGCTGTTCTACTTTATTGAAAAGCTGGCTCTGGAGTTGGGTCATGGCTCTGCCTCCTCTAGACACAAGCATGCTTATTTAGGTTTCCCCTATGTCCTATATCAGGAGATCTATCTGACTCTGACAGGGAGAAGAGAGCAAAGCAAAACAGAAAAAAATTAAATTAGACCAGTGGTTTCATTTAACTGTCTAAAACTTTGCTAAGATATAAAGCTCATCTCAAAAATGTATAAGTTTATTGTGTGAACTGTCAGCAGCAGTAAGTTTGCTGCCTTAATTTTAAATGCCTTTTTTTTGTCCTGTCCCAGTTAAGTTATTTGTGTGAAAAATGTACAGTTGGGTTCCTGAGGGTGCTGGGGATCAGTTCCCCTGTGGTTTTTCCTGTTTGGAAAACAGTGTGGGGCTTGCCTGCAGATACAGAGTAACCATTCCTTGACTCCTGCTGTTAGAGGGGTATATAAACCCATGTTGGTACGAATAAAGAGAGCTGCTTCCCTGACAAACTGAAACTGGGTGTCTAGAGTGCTGTTTAACCTCGGCGTCCCTCGCCAGATTTCATGCTCCAGCTGCGCAGGTTGCGACAGTGAACTTTCTGTACCTCAAGATATGTAAGTTTACCGTGTATGTTCAAAAATCTGTAAAATCTGTAACAAAAAAAGGTGAATGCTGGGCAGTGGTGGTGCACACCTTTAATCCCAGCACTAGGGAGGTACAGGCAAGTAGATCTCTGTGAGTTCGAGGCCAGCCTGGTTTACAGAGCAAGTTCCAGGACAGCCAGGTCTACACAGACAAACTCTGTCTCAAAAAAACAAAAAAGAAGGAGGAGGAGAAAGAAGTTAATGTAAAGCTCAAAAAACAGAGGATTGGGGCTGGAGAGATGGCTCAGAGGTTAATAACTGGCTGCTCTTCCAGAAGACCCGGGTTCAATTCCCAGCACCCACATGGCAGCTCACAACTGTCTATAACTCCAGTTCCAGGGGATTTGACACTCTCACACAGATATACATGCAAGTTAAACACCAATGCATATAAGAAATAAAAAAGAATCATAAAAAACCCAGAAGATTGATAGTTAAAAATCCAAACATAGGTAATTTTAAGGAACCATGTGGCATGATACCATTTTGAGATACAAGCAACATGTGACTTACAGCCACTTAGCTGCTATTATTCCTCGGCATAATTTCCATGTGACTTCACAACCACCTTGAGTAAAGGTGACCACATGGTATAAACCAACCCAGGAAGCAACAACAGGTCTCCAAGATGTTTTGAATTAGGAATAGGTTTTCTGCCCCAAACAATAAGTTTCTCCACCAATGCAGTAAGCCAGATCAAGCTGAATTTTAAAAGGATAGCAACAAGTTTATTGAGAGCAAAGCACCTCCTGGGCAGGTTCACTGGTCTCAGAGCCAGGGCAGGAAAGTTTTATAGATTGTAGACAAGGGGTGATAACATGGCCTCCACAAGCTGGGTTTTCGCCCAAATATGGTCAAAAGCGTAGGTGGGGATTTGGGCGGCCTCAGGGGAGGAAGCTGCAATAGTCACCAGAGTGAGGAACTGGACTTTTGGTCCCTGTCCTTTGTTCAGAGATTCTCTGAGTGGGCAGAGTTTAGAGGGGGGAGTGAGGGAGGGAGGAATAGGGCTTCCCAGACCATGCAAGGGCAAGCCGGAGGCTCCAGAGGAACCATTAGGATGGACTGTTATATGATAATTGTTAGTTATTTAGCTGCGTTGTATTCTTACCCTGCAAGGAAACGTCACGAAACACAACAGAATCCGCTTATAAGAGTTTATTAGAGTTAAAGGGACAGAGTGCGCAGGCCTGTGGGAGAGACACGTGCGTGGAGAAGAGGAAGAGGAGAGAAGAGAGAACTGGGAATATGGCGCTCCGCTTTAAAAACCAGCTGGGGGCGTGGCCAGGACACGTCACTACTCCACGCATGTGCGTAGATCACATGGTCACATAGCGCGCTTACGTAGCCATGTAACATCACGGATTCTGGTCACGCGAGATGCCTTGGCCGGAACTTGCTAGGCGGAGATGTCCGGGTCCGCCGGGTATCCTGGCTACGAGAGACGCTTTGACCCGGAAATGGCTAGGCGGAAGTGTCCGCCTGGTAAATGGGACCGTGGGGGGCATGTTGTAAACCCTTCAATAATTCTTGTCCTGAAAACAAAGTCATAAAAACAAGGTTGACAAAAGGTCAGATTTAAAAACAATGCTTGTTTAATAAGACAGTAAGGCTGCGCCTCCATGCCTTCGTGTACAAGAACGTACCTCGAGCTGGCAGCTGAATTTTGTGATGTAAGAGACGCCCAGGTGGTATTATTGGTTTTAAAGACATTAAAGGTTCATGGAGAGCAGAGGCTTGGCACTGTATGGCAGGGCTGGAGTTCCTAAAGAGACCCCAGGAGAGGCTACTGGTGGAAAGGCAGCCCCCAGAAGTTTTGAAAATGTGGGTGCCACAGGCTATAATCATGTGATTCCAAGGGTGGGGCCAGAGGGGTGCCCCAGCCAGAGGGGCCAGCAGATTGTGAGTGAATCCTAGATACTGAGCATTGAGTTGTTTGAACTATTAGAGTTTGGTTTCGCTTTGTCTAGTTTTGTGGGTGTGCTCCCTCTTGAAGTAAAAAAAAAAAAAGGTACTTAATTTATTTTTTGATATGGCAGGAGCCCACAGTTGAGAGATTCTAAACTTCTTTAAAAGGAAATTTTGGAGTTTTACAGAAAATTTAAACTAAAAAAAAAAAAACTGTACCTTTTAAAAGTAATAGGTTTTAAAATATTTAAATTCATAAGGCTGTGGGACATTTTAATTTTATAGAATGTGTTATATTATGGTGTCTTTATTAATACGCAATTTCTAAATAATGAAAGAAAAAGAGAGAAAGAAAGTTTTATTTTTATACTAAAAAAACTTCAGTTTAGAAATTGAGCTAAGGCTCAAACTTAGCAGAAATAAAGCTGTAAAACCCTAATCTTTTAAAAGCTACTAACTTATTGTGAACTTCTATGTAATTTATTCACAGACACAAGCTTTATTTAGCCTCCTGTATGTGTTTTCAAGGCTAAGCCTAAAGCAAATAACAAAAAACAAGTAAAGTTTATTCAAAATCAGGTGTACTTAACAGATTATAGTCTTCAAACTCTTCAAAGATCTGCTGAATATGGCATTTTAAATGTTTAATGGAAAAAGTTTTCCATTATTGACAGAAATGCTATCTCCTAGTGGTGACCCTAAGGTCTCCAAAGAAGACCATGGGTCACAGACAACACCATCTTGATGGTGGTAACACTAACCACAGGATAGAACTGAACCATGATTCTCCCTCCGCCAGGACCCTAACTAAACTGTGGACAAGCAGGACACTGGGAAGTGGATTGCCCCACTTTGCTTAGACAAGGCAGGCCAGTGCCCCCGAGTTCCTCCTCCACAGGAAAGTATCTCAGATCTTCTGGACCTAGTGGCCAAAGGCTGATGCTTCCCTGAGACCTCGGCCCCCTACTAGGCCACGGAAACCATGGGGGCCTAGGGTAACTATCTAGGTCACTTTAGTTGACACATAGGCCATTCAGTTTATACTTCCTGCTATAATGTATCCTTCTCAGATCTTTGATGGTGCTGATGGCTAAGTGTAGCTTTATGTTAACAACAGCAAGCAAGCCAGCTTCTTTCCGGAGACTGCAGCCACCTTGTTAGTTCATTTCAAACCAGGCCTTGCCTTCTTTAGAACTACTATGTAGCCCTAAGTTGTCCTGTGTCCCTCCCAGTCATGCCGCTGCTCAGACCCAAGTAAATGTATAGAGGCTTATATTAATTATAAACTGGATGGCCTACGTCTCAAGCTTCTTGCTAGCTAGTTCTTATATCTTAAATTAACCCATTTCTATTCATCTATGTTTTGCCACATGCTCCGTGGCTTTACTGGTCTGCCAGCATGCTGTTCCTTGGTTGGCAAGCTGGCGTCTCCTCTGCCTCTGTCTTTTTTCTTCCTGTCTCTGACTTGGATTCTCTGCCTGGCTATAACCTGATTTGCCAAAGGCCAGAGCAGCTTCTTTATTAACCAGTCATAGCAACACATAGTCGCAGCATACAGAAAGATATCCCACAGCACTACTAGGTCTCCTGCTGAGAAAAGCAGACAGGTTTGTCTTGCTAACAGGCTTCCTATTAAAAGATAAACAGGTTTCAGGTGTAAGTTTTTACTATTCCTTTATTTAAAAGAACTTGGTTTGCAATGACTGCTCTCAGCAATAACTACTTATGTCTCTGATAAATGATTAGAGGTTCAATGTTTATGTAAGTTCTGAGGGTCTAAGGAAGTGTTCTAAGGTAAATACAAATTGTAAAGTTCTAAGGATGTGAAAGCTTACATAAGTTGTGAGGGTCTAAAACATGTAGATGTAAGTTAGAAAGGTATAAGAAGGTGATCTAAGGGATGTAAAAAAGAGAGAAATGTTTCAGATTTCTTTGCCCTTCTATGCTATTGTTACACTAAGATTCAAAGGTGCAGAGTTTTAACACTGATCAATGGAGTTCTGAGAATCTGGGAAAGCACTGACTACTACTTTCAGTCACAAGCTCAAGATTTTAGATTTCCTTTGGCTGTCTTCTAAGTATAGACTTAAAGGTGCTTCTCGTTGGGCTAAAGACACCTCTGTCCAATCTATATAGCTAGCCCTCTGGACAGAGAAAAGAGTGTTAATGCCTTTTAACCCAGAGCTGTAGCTTTTGTTATGACTCAAAGACATGCATCTACTCCAGCTGTTTTATAGACAGACACCTCTCAGCTGCTTTTTCTACAGTGTGGATTTTAGCACAGATTACAAACAGTGGTAATGCTACTACAATTTTTTGTAAACTAAAGATCCATGTAAGCATCAGGGAGTCAAGGGAGTCATAAGACTTGAGTCTACCTGTCACAGGTCAACTGGACTCCAGATAAGTACTTCTGTCACATCAACCAACAGCCTGAGTTTCCCTGCCTACTGCCTTTTCCTGAGGGAGGAAGCTCCAAATGTAAGATTTTCCTTTGTTTCTTAACTTTAACTTCTGTGTCTAGTCTGTATCTATCTCAGCAGATTTCCACTTGGCTGACACCATCCAGAATCATCTACAGACTATATAAACTACTCCAAACAGCTACAAGCCTTGGACTTGCTGAAAGCTGATATGAACCAGTCCAGTCGACGTGATTGTTCTCTGTCTCTTCAGCTGGGTCAGTGAACTAGAAGCTTCTGGTGAATGCTCCATTGCCTGAATCCCCTCCTGGCTTTTGACTAGCATCCCAGCCTTCCTGGGTCCTGACAACAGCATTCTAATTTCAGCAGGAAGTAGTTACAGAAGAGAATACATAGCCCCTTATCCTCTACAAAAGATTGGAATGTTAGGTCGAAAGGAAACTCCCCAGCAAAGGGAGAAAATGACTATCAATAGTGCCTATTGACAGGAAAGGCACCGGTTAAAACCAAACAGACCCAGATCTATCAACAGTAGATTCGTTAGCTGAAGTTCTTCAGGGTGATAGGGTACTCAACCTGCTCTATGTAGAACAAGGAGGTTATTGTATGGCTTTAAGAGAAAATTGTTTCTATACAAAGCCACCCTTGAACCATTAGAGATAATCTGTTTGTACTTAAAAAATACAAAAAAGGGGGGACCTGAGATGAAATAAATGACTGATCCCCAGTCTCATTTTCATGCTCCTCCTAGATAGTGACTCTGATGTCAGCCTTTGGCCCTTCTGCTTCTTCTAATTACACTTGACTTCTAATCACTAATGCCTTAACTAGATACATAAATTCCCATCTGGGTGCCATTAAGCTGGTGGTTCTTAGATCCCAATATAAGCAGATACCCACCACAGAGTCAAGGACTTGACTCAGGATGCAATTCAAGTAGGGTTATATGAGGATAAAGTTATGTTTTAAGATTAAATTGCTCTGCTTAAGAGGTCTATAAAACAAAAAACACATCTAACCTGTCAGCCCCACTTGCCCAAGGACAGATAACTTCCTGGAATGCTGTGGGCATTCATGTAATATATGAATGTACATGTAATATAACATGCCACATGGTTTCGCTCTCTGTAAACAGCCTTGGTTGCCCTGACTGCTCAGGATGTGCTTGATCACATGTAGGAGGAGGTAGATAGGCAGGAAGCATGTCAGGATGTGTGCTTGCCCCCAACTTGATGAAGGTGGGAAGTACATAGCTTATAAAGGTTTTGACTTTGCAAGCCTCTGGCTAATGTAGTTCAGGACTGTAACTAGAGTTTTCCTGCCTTGCCCACAGTCAGGACAAATCTCTCTCACCTGCCAGTCCCACAGCCGCTCAGACCCAACCAAGTAAACACAGAGACTTACATTGCTTACAAACTGTATGGCCGTGGCAGGCTTCTTGCTAACTGTTCTTATAGCTTAAATTAATCCATTTCCATAAATCTATACCTTGCCACGTGGCTCATGGCTTACCGGCGTCTTTACATGCTGCTTGTCCTGGCGGCGGCTGGCAGTGACTCTTTCTGCCTTCCTGTTTTCTCTGTTCTCTCTCTGTTAGTTCCGCCTATACTTCCTGCCTGGCCACTGGCCAATCAGTGTTTTATTTATTGACCAATCAGAGCAATTTGACATACAGACCATTTATTGACCAATCAGAGCAATTTGACATACAGACCATCGCACAGCACAGGACCATACTCTGGGAATCCCACCTGGCCAGTGCCCATCATCCTGGCCACTATTTAATAGAGCTTGCTTCAAATTTGGTTTAAAAAATGTGATAATGGTCTTTTTCTCTCGCAGTGGGATTAACACACACCCCTGGGTGTGCCTATGATGCTGTTTTCTGAGAGATTTAGGTAAGCAGGGAACTCACCTGAATGTGGGTGGCAACACCAAATGGGCTGGGGTCCCAGCCTGAATAAGTAGAAGAAAGAGAGCTGTGCACCAGCGTTCATCTACTTCCTGACTACAGATTCAATACGACCATCCGGCTTACTTCCCTGCTGCCGTGAACACCCCTGGCATGATGGGCTGCATCACCAAACAGCCAAAGGAAACCTTCGTTCCTTCTACTCAGGAAGAATTCTTAGAAGTATGCTTACACCTCTTCGTCCTTCCGTCAGGCGTTGCTCATGGCAATGAGAAAAGTGGCTGACACACTCCGGGGTCTCGTTTGCTTTTCCTGATGAATGAGAATCAGGAAACTTCTAATAAACTAACAACTAATAAAACCGAAATTGAAGCCGGGCGGTGGTGGCGCACGCCTTTAATCCCAGCACTCGGGAGGCAGAGGCAGGTGGATCTCTGTGAGTTTGAGGCCAGCCTGGGCTACCAAG